TATTTGTCACTACGTTTTGCACAAAGTTTAGGAAGAAACACTACTTGCTAAAACAATATTTTTCTTCTATGACGATATTATAACATATACAAAGTTGCAAGATTCAAAAACACAAAAAGTTCTACCACAGAACATTGAGCTCTATCCTAACTGGAGTGTGAACTCCTGTAGGAAGAAGTAGAGGCGACGGAGGTCCGAGAGAAATGGAAAATGGGTAGTTCCGGTATTATCCTATAGCAAATTTATTTGGGGGGAACAAACGTACGCCGTAACATAACCTACCCGAGCATCGCTGAGCATTGTCGAGTGAGTTACTTTCAGATTCTTTTCCGCATAAAATTGGATAAATACAATATAAATTGAATTGTGACAAATAATAAAATTTAGCTCTATACCAAATTGTATAATATTTGTATGATCTAAATTATGGTATGTAAATTATGTATACTATTTCATTATTATGTCATTATTATTAATGTTTCTATCGTTTTATATATAAATAAAAAGGAAATAAAGTTCAAATTTGTACAAAATTAATCTGTAAATAATTCCTAGAGTGCCGCGAAATTCAAACAAAGAGGAGTCTGTTCTCTCCCTCCACACATAAATTTGTTATAGGATAGTACCACCGGAACCACTCATTTTGCATCTCTCTCGGACCGGCTTCTCTCTCGCAGTTTACACTCCAGTTAGGATAGAGCTGGATAGAGCTCAATGCCACAGAATAGCTAACCACTAGCAACCACTAGAATCAAAGCACCAACCATTTATCTGATCACGATTCTATCACCATGAACCCACCTACGTTCCTTTGGCAAAAACGCGGTTAATTTTGAAACGAAATTCAAACACTAACTTGGCTATTCCATTGCAAATTTGTCATTGCCTGCATTTGATGTCATTTATTGTAACGAAATTGAAATGTAATGTAGTCAATATGAAAATAAAGAAAAATTTATACTTAGAAATTTAGAATATTTTATTTACTTTGTAGATAGAAGTCATATTTGAAAGCACTATTTATATGTATTATATTATAACATCAATTTCTGCAATTATTAATCGCTTCTTTCTTCAAATTTGATTAAGAAAGATGACTGTTTTCTTTCCAGTTTTTATTATGGTTTAGAATTTATAGGTGTTATAACATTTTCTTATAATATTACGCCTCAGATATTGTTGCACTTTATACTGTTCCTATAATATCTCTTTCCTCTTTTATTTACTGGCTGATAAAAAATGATGTAGATATATATTTGCAAGTATTCAGCAATATAAGGAGTACCTGTGATAGGCCAAGCTAAGAAACTGCAGGGCCCCATTTAGAACATTTTTACAAAAGCTTCCACGTTAACGAGACGATTAAAGAATTTGTTAATTATTCAGTAAACTTTCATAAGAAACCGATTTTACTTGACAAGACTGCAACAAAATTACCTTATCACGGAGATATACTTTAGACAGGGCGACATCGTAGAGTCTGCCTAGGTACAAAACATATGGCTGACGCCTTATAAATCATTATAAATGTAACTCTACGAAACTCTCAAAATAATAAAACTGATGTCCTGTTATAGCAGTTGTTTTAATGTCCTTTCCTATTTTAAAGCTCCTGTATACACTTTTGAAAAATTGCATATAATTTTCCGATTTTAAATGTATATGACCGGTGAGGGGGCCAATTGGGGCCAATCTAGTCACAGTGTTTCGATCATTTGTTTTTCTTACACCATGACTTAAAATGAATAATATTTGTTACGGTATTTTGAAAACGAAACATTACATTGCAAAATGGAAAAAAACTTTCTAATTTCTCTTGACATATCGAATTGGCATTTGTTATCTAGTCCCATTAATTTGAGGCACTCTTATAATTGTATTATTGGATATAATTACAGATAATACCTGATTGATACGAATTTCTCATTATTGTATTAGTAGTTTATTTTCGTATTATTTAAGTACAAAAAACATATTTAAATATTTTAAAACTGATACGTGTTTATGTCGCATATTAAAGCTACATAGTACATATCACCTGTTGACCTTGTTTCTTAACTCTTTCGATATCAATTAACGTTTATTAACAGAGGTTTACTATAATTTATACTATAGATATCTTGTAAGTGTAAACAATTTAAGATTATGATTTTTATATCAAAACATTATTATACGATTTGTTGGTATAGTTTGGTTGTATTTTTTCTAGGACTAGAAGTCCTGGAAGTAAAAGTGATTGACAAATTGATCTAATACAATGCAAAAGCAAAAGAGCTTAACGAGAGTCAATTAACATTATTAAGTAATAAATTGATTGCTTTTATTGAGAAGATTCTATGATAGACATGTTCTATTTTAAAAGCATATCACAGTTAAGAAATGCATCTCTGCTGCTTTAAGTTACGGTCCATATTTCTGGTTGGATTTGGAATTGGTTTTCTTTTTGCATTGTTTTTACTCGTAGTTCAAGATGCATTTAACAGTACTTTCGTTTGCAAGACCTCTTCAATAAATCCTAACAATGCAAGAAGGAGTGCACTTCTTAAATGGCTTACTTCTAATGTATGGAACAATGAAGAGATTGTTCTTCAAACATGGAAAGAGAAATCTGCAGATATAACATACAGCAAATGGTTAAGAGATCAAAATTTAAAAATAAAAAATATTAATATGGATGCCTATCTGTATGGACCTGAGAAGAATGAACAATTAGAATCCGATTGGTTAAAATCTACAGTTCACATTACTTGTGCTGTCTTTGTGAAAAAAGTTAAGCTGGCAGAGTCTATTCAGAATACCTGGGGTAAACGCTGTAACAAAATATATTTCTTTGGTCAGCAGAAGAATTCAGCAGAAGTACCTATCATAAATTTTGAAATCAAACTTTTATCTTCATGGCAGCATTTGTGCGAAGCTTTTAACTATATTTGGAAAGATAATGAATCTTTGGAGTGGCTTATCTTTGTAAAAGATGACACAATGGTGATTCCAGAGAATCTACGCTACATGCTTTCCGTGTTGAATCATACACAGGATCACTATTTAGGTCACGCAATTGTGCTCTGGGGGCAGCCTTATAATGTTGCGGATGCAGGATATGTTATCAGTATTGGAGTTCTTAGAAAACTGATTAAAATGTTTGACAATTCTGAAAAGTGTGCATCTGGTGGCAAATATTGGAAGCAGGAAGATTATTATCTTGGTAAATTTATTAATATGGAATATATTAACACATTATTAACCCTCACGTGGCAGATGCAAGGACATTTTGACTTGCCTATATTCGCTTCCATATTATTTGTTCATACGCAATCATTTTGGAGTTACATATAATAAGGATCAAGCTTTGAGATCATCCTTTGGAGTTTCATTATACAACATTAGATGAAAAATTTAGTTTTACAATGCCATTTACTTTTATAATAATCACAAAATTGTATGAAACATAAATTAAAATTATTAATGTTATTATACTATTATGTAGACTTTGCACTTAATCAAAATATAGCTAATCATGTATTGTCTTCCTTGTATGATTTTTGTTATGTAAGATCTGAAGAGAGTCGTAACAACTTTATAGCTAATATTATTTTTGATTTTCAGCTAAACACTTGGCTTCTATGGGAATTTATCCTTCCGATACAAGAGATCAGTATTTAAGGGGTACGTTTCATGGGTATTCTTTACAATCCTTGTTATGGGGAGTTGTTAAAACTGGTAGCTACTGGACTCGTGCCTTATATCCAATACAAAATGAGTGTTGTTCCCTGATGTCTGTAACTTTTAGCATTGGAGAATCTGATACAATGTATACTTTAGATTATTTACTACATCATTTACATGTTCTGAAACGTGAAGGTGTGTTTGGAAGTATAAAAGCACCAACAATAGTACCTGATGAAGATGTAAGATTATTGTTCTACTATCTCTTCTTTTTCAATATATTTTAATGGTATATGCATAAGGTTAATGGAATGTTATTGTTTTCAGGTATGGAAAATTGCATTGAAGGAAGAATTTAATATTACACATTTGAATAATATTTCTAGCGATGCTTATTATGAAATATGGCATTCAAAATATTCTGAACCAGGACAATTAATTGCCAAGAATCATCAGAATAAAAGAATAATAGATAAATCCAACTAACTTTTTTATATATTGTAAATACATAGAATTTATATAACGATGGTGCTACCGAATCAACAAGTTCTGTGAAGTTATTTGAGATTAATTAATAAGGTTACATATCCCGTCCATGAAATTAATATGGTGGTTGAATATTTGATATTTCCCATTTTTTAACACGATACTTGTTGTAGTAATGTTACCTATAAATACAGTTTAACGATTTTTGTAATTACTGTTCAAACATTATTTGTGTATGTTCAGTAAGTCCTTATGTAACAACTGCGTTTGTAGTATTAATAAGTTTCATTGATATGAATGTGAGAACAGCGGAATGGTGCTGTTTGATGTTGATAACTACTTCCCCTGTTACACCATTGTTACCTTATCTAACTAATTAAGAACATATAAACGCTCATAATGACGATGATAACCAAATCACATTTCCAGTCTCGAATATAAGTGAAGAATATAGAATGTAGAACATCTCTTTGTAACGCTAGTTGAGGATCTCTCGTCTGATAATAGGGATGCTCGGATACAGTGTTCAATAGCATTATCCTTTGCTGTAAATTAAGATTACAGTACCTGATAATATACTATAAATAGATATCCATATAATTGCGTTTTTCATAATTTATACTAAATTAAAAAAATTCTATGTAACATATTTAAATCTGTGACAATAAAGAAACAGTTTTCTAGTAGTATAAACTTTTATTCATCAACATGGCCCTACTTTAATCTAATTCGAATTGCTGACCCATATTTTTTCTTCGAAACAAGTTATCAAGCTGTACTTTATCAGTTATCTGCTTCCTTTTCGTTGCTATATAAAAGAAGAAATATATTAAATTACATATTTAGCTACAGCAAGCCTTCCAAGATGTTTCATGGTATTGTTTTGCACTCTTAAGTATGATATAAATATAACTAGTTCAACATGATGCTGTGGAATGTATTTTTCAAGATTGCAATAATCCTTACTATTGTAAGTCAAGTAATTACTGGAAATAATACGGAAGAGTCCTTTGATCTAGGCGAGTAAGTTACCAGATTGTTTTTCTAAAGAAATATTAAGGATATTGAGAATTATTTAATGCAAACATGCGATTATTTAGTATAAGTATTCCATTGGACGATACTCCGAGTCAAGATTATAGCGTAAAAAAAACTAAGAATGGAAGAAGACATTTATTCGTAGGGGGTTGTAGTAAAGAACCAGATCAACTTATAAATGGTAAAATACGATGCTCAATGGATAGGTAATGCACTGCTAATTAGCATAATATTACGACTTATTATATTTGAATATTAAGTTCATGCTTTTTATTTGTATTATATTATTTGTATAGTGGCTGCATAGCAGCTTGCAATCCGAATTACAAATTTCCAAATGGTGCAACACAGCTGGCTGTATCTTGTAATAATAAAGAGTGGCACGTAGTTGGCACTGATTGGAATTCTGTACCTCACTGTGAACGTAAGTTTTTTTTTAAGGAACATTTAATTACTTTTACACAGGACAGAGTTTAAGAGTGCATATAATCTTTTTAATATATTTTTAGCAATTTGCATGCCAGAGTGTTTGAACAATGGAGTATGTGTTGCACCTCATCAGTGCAATTGTCCTGAAAATTTCATTGGTCCTCAATGCCAATTTGAGAATAAACCATGCATGGAGTATCCTCTTCGAGTGTCCAATTCTCACAAGCAGTGTAATTCAAAGTATGTTATTCTAAGAATGCTGATATCCATTTTATTAGAATTAACTTGGTCAGAAATTCAATTGTGATTCTATTTTTCTGTCAGATCGTGTACCATATCCTGTATGACCAATTACACCTTTCCGGATGGCACCTCCATTACTAATCTTCTATGCAAGAATGGAAATTGGGTTCCTACTAGGCAAGATTGGGTATTTGTGCCTAATTGTGAACGTACGTTACAAATCAATAAAATGTAATTAGCAAATTGAGAATTTGTTGCAATCAATAAATGCATCTTTTGTTACAGCTGTGTGCGATCCACCTTGTCAAAATGGAGGGAATTGTCTTCCATCGAATTTTTGTCAGTGTCCACAAGCATACAGAGGACCCCAGTGTCAATATTGTAAGTATATGCCTATTTCAATCAAATAGATTTACGTTAATGTAAATTGTCTAAACCCGAATGTTAAATATACTTCACACAGCCGCTGATGCCTGCAGTGGTGAGAAAATGGGGTTCAATGGTGGCTTCTACTGTAGTAGTGATGGTGATAGTTACTCTTGTACTTTAAACTGTCCTGTTGGAGTAGAATTTGAATTTCCTCCTGTAACTACATACAAGTGTCTCTACGAAACTGGTGTCTTTGAACCACAGCCAATACCGCAATGCAAGTACAGCGAAAATAAGAACCTGATTTCTTTAGGGGCCACATACAACTCTTATATTAGGGAAAGTAATCATACATGGACATATGAGGATATCTTCAACTCCAATACAAAATCATCTTCGTTGGATAAAACCAACTACGACATCATGGGTTTTTATAATAATCTCAAGAACAATATGACCTCGGAAGCGGTAATAATTTGATAAAAGTAGAATGTTGTATATTTATATCGTTTAACAAAATTTCCTATAACTCTAGATGGTATTCAATTCGATGAAAGACAATATGTTATTCTTCGAGGAGAAGCGCCCAGTCCCAAAAACTTGTTTCACTTGGGGTGGTGTACATTACAAGACCTTCGACGATAAGGTCTTTAGCTTCGACAGCGACTGTTCTCATATTCTAATCCAAGAAGCACAGGACAGGGTCTTCACCATAATAGTAAAAAACAGCCCAACTTGCAAGACCCAGGATTGTTTCAGAATCATAAAGATCTTCGTTGGAGAAAAGGAGTACACTTTGTCGAGGAATGAAGTCGGTGTTCCAGAATTTCGAACTCCGACTAAATTGCTACCTATTCCAGCGCAACTTCCGACTTTAAGGGTTGAGATGTCTGCGCATTTTATCATCGTAACTCTGGACTCTTTAGGCATCCAGTTGAAATGGGATGGTGCCCTCATATTGCAAATTGGAGCCCTTGAAAATATGTGGAATAGAACGGTTGGTCTCTGTGGTACTATGAACAGTGATAAAAATGATGATCTAATGGGGAAAAATGGGGATCCTGTAAGAAACATCGCAACCTTTGCGTCCTCCTGGCGAACAGAGAATATTGCAGGTATTGTTTTGATATTATAGGTCGAACTCAGAACATGTTCATAGTTTTTTACACCCAGTTTTAATTTGACTATTTCAGAGATGTGCGATGAATATCCAAATATTCGTCACTCTTGCGAGTCGAATCCAATTCTTGCTACAGAAGCTATCCATTTTTGTATGAAGCTACTCTCTGATCGCAGATTCCTGGCTTGTGCTAATACGATTAGTATCCCCGAACTGCAGACGGCGTGTTTATGGGATTATTGTTCTTGCATGCACGACGACAAGAGGAAATGTGCCTGCGACACGATGAATGTTTATGTCAGACAATGTGCTCATAAGAAAGTCGTGTCTTTGGCTCATTGGAGAAACAATGATACTTGCCGTAAGTCTTTAAAATTATAATTATTCACTTCATTGTATACAAACTGATAAGAAAAAAAATATTATAAATTTTACGTGAGATCATATTACAGCTATGGTTTGTAACAATGGACGAGTGTACATGCCCTGTGGTCCAGAAACAGAATCATCCTGTTGGACAGGAGTAGAAAGAAAACTGAACCCTGACAGTTGTGAGGAGGGTTGTTTCTGTCCAAAAGGAACCGTGGCTCATGAAGGAAGATGCATATACCCTGACGAATGTCCTTGCAGATTACGTGGAAAGCTATTTGAGCCTGGGAAGAGTGTACAGAAAGACTGCAACACTTGCACATGTTCTTCTGGAAAATGGATATGTACTCAAACTAGATGTAATGCTAGATGTTCTGTCATTGGAGATCCTCATTACACTACTTTCGATGGACGACATTATGATTTCATGGGAAAATGTAAATACTATCTGATGAAGGGAGATGATTATAGTATCGAGGGTGAAAATGTTCCCTGTTCTGGTGCAATATCAGAGGTCTGTAGTCGATATTGTTAATATACAATTTTTTTATTCAAAAGAGATCTATTCTCTTGATTCCATGGAAGCTTGGTTCCATCAATAAAGAGTGTTATTTTGTTTGTAGAGCCTGGGACTTAATCCAACTGATACACCATCTTGTACAAAAACTATAACGATTAATTATATGGACACTTCTATCAAATTAAAGCAAAATCGTCAAGTATTAATCAATGGAGATGATTTGACAATGTTTCCTATGTTCGTCAATGACATCAGGATACGCATTGCCAGTAGTATATTTTTAGTTGTTCATTTGCCAAATGGTTTGGAAATATGGTGGGACGGTATCACCCGCGTCTACATTACTGCTCCTCCCGAATTTCATGGTTTATATTCTTTTATATCTGTTAGTCTTGTTTTTGCAAGAAAATGTCTTCAATTTTTCATTGCGTATTATCATTATCAGGCAAAACTAAAGGCCTTTGTGGCACGTTCACGGAGAATCAGAAAGATGATTTTGTCACACCACAAGGTGACATTGAAAATACGGCTGTCTATTTTGCTAATAAGTGGAAATCAGAGGAATATTGTCCCAACGTTGCAGAAAAGGAATCGGATCACCCTTGCGATATGGATCCACAAAAAAGAGCGACTGCAAAACAATACTGTTCCTATTTGTTCAGTGAATTATTTGCTGGTAATATCTAGACGTCTGATCAATTTCAATCTATCCCACTTCTCTCAAATTCAAACTACTTATATTCCTCCTTTTTAGGTTGCCACTGGCATGTGGATCCAAATGCGTTTTACGAAGATTGCATGTTTGATATGTGCTCTTGTAAGGTTCAAGTTGAATTGTGTCTCTGTCCTATATTGGCAGCCTATGCGAAAGATTGCGCTACTGCTGGAATAAAACTCTTATGGCGACAGGATGTAAATGAGTGTAGAATACATTGTCCCGAAAACCAAGTCTATCAGATTTGTGGAAACAGTTGCACAAGGTATTCCATCATTACAAATTGTTAATTGTATGATAGGTAATTCTTTTTTAAACATTCTTAGATCCTGTGGTGACATATCTTCTTATAAGGACTGCAAACAAGAATGCGTAGAGGGATGCAATTGTCCAGAGGGTCAAACATTGGATGTTCATGGAGAGTGTATCCCAGTTGGACAATGTCCTTGTACATATGCAGGATTAGAGTTTAAGGCTGGACATCGGGAAGTTAGACCTGGAAACAAAGCTCTTGAACTTTGCACCTGTGCAGGTTGTGTTTCTTATCAGTATAAAATACCAAAATGATTGAGCTATAGGTTTGCATGTAACATTGTAAATTATGTTCCAAATAGGTGGCATTTGGAACTGCCGACAAGCAACGTCAGACGAAATTCAAGACTATCCAGCAACCAAGGATCTTTTGACCTCTTGTATGGCAAGTCAACATTTAGAAGTGACAGATTGTGTACTAGCAGAACCTCAAACTTGTTACAATATGCACAAACCAGTTAAACAGTCATCTATTTGCAAATCTGGTTGTGTCTGTAAATCTGGCTACGTTTTGAATGAACCAGGTGGTTTCTGTATTAAAGAAGAGTCTTGTCCATGTCACCACGGAGGTCAAAGTTACGTGGAAGGATCTAGTATTCAGAACGAGTGCAATACTTGTCAATGCACGAATGGCACATGGAAGTGTTCGGATATAATATGTTCAGGAGTTTGTTCTGCTTGGGGTGACTCGCATTACAAGACATTCGATGGAAAAATTTATGATTTTCAAGGAATGTGTGACTATATCCTGACTAAAGGTTCGCTAGGAAAGGATGAATCATTCGACGTGTCGATTCAGAATATACCTTGTGGAACAACTGGTGTATCCTGCTCTAAATCGGTTATTCTTACGGCTGGAAATAGCGAAAGTCCTGAAACAATTACTTTAACAAGAGGAAAGGAACTACCATCAGGAATCTTTAAGAGAATGGCAATGAGAACAGCTGGATTGTTCGTGTTCATAGATGTGCCAGACCTGGGACTGACACTTCAGTGGGACAAAGGTAATTTTTAAATTTTACAACTTAGTTGTTCATTGTTAAAAATCAAAAGAGAGTTCGACTTTTCGTAATTTGTGTAGGTACCAGAGTCTACATAAGATTAGATCCCAGGTGGAAAGGCCGTGTAAAGGGCCTCTGCGGTGACTATAACGATAATAGCGAGGACGATTTTAAAACACCTTCCGGTGGTATATCAGAGGCGTCCGCTAATTTATTTGGTGATTCCTGGAAGAAGAACGATTTCTGTCCCGAACCTAGAGATGTGACAGATCCCTGTGAACAACATCCAGAACGGAAATTATGGGCTGTACAAAAATGTGGAATACTGAAGTCTTCCATTTTCTATCCATGCCACTCTGAAGTTGATGTCGAAAGCTATTTACATAATTGCATTTTCGACACTTGTGGCTGTGATACAGGTAATTTATTACAATTTTATTTAAAACTAAGCGAGTTAATCAATGAAGAATACTAGAAATAATTTTCTTCTACACTTTGAAGACAATTATTTACACTTAACTTCATTAACTTTTCAGGGGGTGACTGTGAGTGTCTTTGCACAGCCTTGGCAGCATACGCGCAAGAGTGCAGTGCAAAAGGTGTTCCTATAAAGTGGCGTAATCAAGATTTTTGTCCTATCCAATGCGATAAAAACTGTAGCACATACTTCCCTTGCATCACAACGTGTCCCCGTGAAACTTGCGATAATTTAATGATTTTGAAGGACCAGTCTCACTTATGTTCTCAAGACACTTGCGTTGAAGGATGTTCGGTTAAACCCTGCCATGAAAATCAAGTATACAGTAACGATAGCTACACAGAATGCGTTGCTAGGGAAAAATGCAAGACACCCTGTACTGAAATCAATGGAGTAAGTTTAAGAATACTGAAAAATTCGTATTTCTTATTTAATCAGAACTTTTTAGTAATAGCAGCGTATTGTAGGTAACTTATTATGAAGGTGACAGTGTTAGCAATGACAATTGTCAGGCATGTTTCTGCAGTCGTGGGAAAATATTGTGCAAAGGAGAACCTTGTACAACTACTTCTGTTCCAACCACTGTTCTATTAGAGGAACCACAGCGTTGTATAGATGGTTGGACTGTTTGGTTGAATCAGGATCCAGCAATTAAGGGAAGAAAGATTAAAGATGTTGAACCTCTACCCAGCATGTTGACTTTGGTAATATTTTACATCATTATTAATTTTTAAACTAAAACATCTTGCATTTGTATATTATCTTCTCCGTATTAAAGGTAAATGAAAAAGAATCCGCAGTATGTGACAAAAATCACATGATTGACATAAGATGTAGATCCGTGAAGAACCATTTAACTCCAAAAGAAACTGGTTTGGATGTAGAGTGCAGTTTAGAGCGTGGTCTTTATTGTCGTTCTCAGCCTAATCTTCCCTGCATCGATTTCGAAATCAGTGTTCTATGTCAATGTTCGGCAACTACCACAGAAGAAATTCATAATATAACAGGTTTGTATTGTGTATAACAACGGTGGCTAAACCTTGTCGTGATAACTATAGTAGATCTGTCTATGTAAGAAAAGGCTATTTGAAAAATAGTTCATATTCGATAATTAGACTCTAGAATCAATTTCATTAGAAGAATCGTGAACCGCGGTTTAACCACTTTTGATGTACAGTCTGTAGATACTGTTTTCACGCATTGATAATATCAATTCTTCCAACAGTAACTCCGACTTCCGTGATACCGACGTATGAGGAGTGTAGCGTGGAACATCCTAATAAACCACATCCTACAGATTGTCATCTATTTTATCAATGCACACCAGGAATGAACGGAAATGAATTTGTAGAAAAGTCGTGCGGAGAAAATATGTTTTACAACCCACAGTTACAGATTTGCGACTGGCCAGCTAATGTTATTTTCTTGAAACCAGAATGTTCTGAAAAACGGACAACATCAACTAAAACTGAATGGACAATCGATCAGAAAACGAAACACAGAACAACAATATCAACAACTTTAGAGAAAAACATCATAACTACGAGTACTATAGTTTTTAGCATTATTTGGAGATCAATGAATATTTGTTAGATTACTCGGGTAAATTTGGTGTTTTCTTTTTAGAAGCTTGTAAGGAAAGCGAAATGTGGAGTGACTGTGCTATTAATTGCAACAAAGCTTGCGATTACTATCGGTATACCTTGTTACAGAACGGAATTTGTAACAGTGCATCTGACTGTATACCAGGTATAGTATCTTCTGGATAACTAGTCTACTAAACAAAAGTAGTTGTTAACAAAATTGTGGGACATTCCATCAGGATCAGTTCCTTGTGCGTAAAAGTCAATTATTATACTACTCAATTGATTGCGCAATTACATACACAGACACACACATACAAGAAACATATGTTTATGAATTCATATGCGTAAAACTTTGATGGCTTACATCCTGATACTGAAGCTTCTTCGGGTTGTATTGCGGAAACGGACTTTCAGATTTATATTGATACCATAGCTTGATTCTGAAGATAGGTCTCACAGTTTTGCTAAGACTCTACTGATCGTTTGATTGAACATCGAGGATTGTTTTGTTTTTCGTTTCATTTTTAAATAAACTTTCGTCTTCGTAACACAAAAGATAGAAATGTGCAACATTAACAACTTAAACTCAATACTAAACTACTATTCATTGTAATCTAAAATATAAATTTATTTTCTTAATAATTAGGGTGCGTCCCCTTGGGAAGACCAGAGTGCCCTCCACACAAATTCTGGAGAGACGCTCTATCTTGCGTCGATGAGACCGACTGTTTTTGCAAATCTCATGAAGGAGATCCTGTTATTCCTGGTTCTGTCTTGAAGGAATCAGAGTGTGAGATCTGTCAGTGCATCAACAATTATTACACTTGCGATACGTCATCATGTGCCAGTGTAACTGATCAGGGACCGACTGAAAAGAATGTTACATATTTACCCACTGAACCAACTACCGTCTCGAATTTCCCTTCGTAAGTGCATCTATTTAAACTTGCTACAGATAGTATGAAGTAGATACTACGGAGACGATATTTTCATGTGTTAAAGGTCTGAAAAGCCTACAACGCCAAGTCTCGAGGAAAAAACTATTGTTGTACCTAGCACTGTTACACCACCAGCGTATTGTATTAGCAACAATTTTGTTCCTCTCATTCAATACTTGAACGACGAAGTCACTTTTGATGCTAGCAGTACCAAAAGCCCCATGTACCGACCAGAAGGTTCCTCACTAAGTGGCAATGTTCTTGAAGATTCTGTTGGATACTGGGAACCCGAATACGTCAATGTCGATCAATGGTAAATAAAGTCTTTGGAAAAAATGTTTTGTTTGTCAGTTTGAAGACGTTCGTTTCATCGATTGTTTGTTTTCAGGCTCGACATAAAGTTCGAAAAACCTGAACCAATCTACGGCATCATTCTACAAGGTAGCAGCATGGAAGACATGTTTGTAACCAGCTATAGAGTGCTCTTCTCTGAAAACGGTGATGCTTTCTCCTACGTGTTGGATAACAAGAAGGATCCACGAGTATTTAGAGGCCCTGTAGATAAGTTTAAGCCGGTAGAGCAAAAGTTTTACGTTCCTATTGAAGCTAAGGTTATTCGGATAAACCCATTGTCCTGGCACAATGGAATAGCGATGAAAGTAGAATTACTTGGCTGCCAAGAACTTATGATTAACACCACTTTAACAGAGCAGAATGTTACATTAATAACAACGCCGTTGACTGAGAAAGTTATAAATCCAGGTAAAATGAGAGTAATCTGCAGTAACGTACAAAGTTATACATTGTTATAGCAATCGATATTCACATTTTCCTCCATTTCTCAGTATGTGACGAGCCAATGGGTCTGGACAGTGGTTTGATTTTTGCCGAGCAGATATTGACATCATCATCTTCCACAGATTTGTTGCCAAATCTGAAATTAACATCTCCTAATGTTTGGCATCCTAAGCTAGACAATCCACACCAATATGTTACGATAGACTTTTTGGAAGCTCGCAATTTAACAGGAGTTGCAACAAAGGGCGGCGAAGACACCTGGACAACTGTATACAAAATCTTTTACAGTAATGACAATCGTCAGTGGAACCCGGTGGTCGATGATAATGGCATGGAAAAAGAATTCTTGGCTAACTTTGATTCTGAGACTGTAAAAAAGAATTACTTCGACAAGCCATTGCATGCAAGGTACCTGAAGATACAACCGATAAAATGGCATAATCATATAGGCCTGAAAATTGAGGTGTTGGGTTGCTTCCTACCGTATCGTAAGTTTAACTTCTTTTTATACAATGTTCCTACAAGTTTCATTCAACGTTGGGCATTAATCAATTGATCAATCAATTAAACAACTAGTTACTTAAATTAACATTTCAATTGATTTTCGCAATTCATATTTCAGCATGTTCTACAGCTCAAAATAAGAAAAAATATCATGTAGATATAAGTTTGCAAATGCTTTATACGAGAGTTATTTGTTCATAAAGCATTTGCGGACTTATATTTAATGTGAAATTTTCGTCTTACTTTTAGTCGTAGAACAAAGTGTAAGTTTGTATGGAAACCTGAAAGACACCCTGTTGCAGTTAAAGCGATGTTTATTATTTAATTTACTGTAATATTTTATTCAGCATCCATTACAACAACTACCGAGAAGGTAGCAACTACACCGAAAATAATGCAACCATATGTTGAGGAATGCAATATTTGTAAGGGAGTAACTAATGAAGATCAAAATAGTTGCAAATGCAATGGATCCTACTGGTGGAATGGGAATACCTGTGTGATTAAGCAAGAATGTCCTTGTGTAGTTGGACACATTACGTACGTATAGATTTTTATGTAAATTTGTCAATTAAATAATGAATATTATAAAAAAAAAAGAATTTTAGCTAAATTGAACTTAATCCTTTAATCAAAAAAGGGAAATCCAAAAGTATACGACGCAATCATAGTGTTGGTTTACTGAATAGGATGATTAAATATATCCGTTGTTTCTGGTTTTATTCTGAAATAAATTGCGTTTGTTACACTTCAAACATATTTAAACTCAATAAGAAAATTACAGTTTACTGTAATCTAAAATACAAGTTTACTTTTGATATTTAGTCTTTAACTTCTAGATATTTAAGCGATTGAATTGTTCAGGTATAACGTGGGTACAACCTACATAACCGAAGATTGTCAGGAATGCGTATGTACATTGGATGGAATTTCTTTCTGTCAGCCAAAGAAGTGCGATTCTTGTCAGGAACCAGAAATGCGAGCAGTAGTAAATGAACTCTGCAATTGCGCGTGCAAACCTTGTCCTACAGGTACTCGCCATTGTCCAACCAGTGACATTTGTATTGATGAGAGTTTTTGGTGCAATGGAATCCAAGATTGTCCAGATGACGAGAAAGATTGTAACGTAATTCCAACAACAATGTCTATGTTCGAATTTAGTACTACAGAACAAGGGGAGAATACAACCTTAACATCAACTACAGGTATCAAATTAAATCCATAAATTAAAGCACATGAAAAGTGAGACTAATATTTCACATATTTTCAGTTCCACAAGTGTGCCAAAATCCGGTCTGTCCACCTGGTTATAAAATAAGCTCAAAATCATTTACGAAACATTATAAAAAATCTCAAACGAAAGGAGGAGTGAAATCTTTATCTAAACATTCTTGGAGAACTAAAGGATTGAGGTAGCATATCACAGAGCTATTATTAGATTACTAACATTTTATATTAGTAACTATTAACGAAAGATATTTACAACCAGGAAATCCATGAAGGAGTCAAAATATATTGAAAATCAAGAGTCACAAAATGAAACCGAGTGTGCACAATTTATTTGCGTGCCCTACAAACCGCCAGTAATTGTTGACCAAGGCAAGCCACAGACTTGTCCAAAGGCATCTTGTCCCGAAGGTTACACTGTCGTTTATGAACAAATGAGCATGTACAAGCTTCAGAAGTGTCCAAAGTATACTTGCAAACCACCAGCACCAGAAGAAGTTGTTTGCAATGTAACAGGAAGAACGTTCAGCACGTTTGATAAGTTAGAGTATAAGTATGATATTTGTAACCATATATTGGCCAGAGATATGTTTGCCAATAAGTGGTACGTAACATGTAAGTATCAGTGAATCTGAAAGTTTGGGTAAACTTAATTATTCTGTTGTGTTACTAAAATGTTGGAAGAATGCTTGATTAGAAATATTATTTTGACAGTGGAGAAGCAGTGTGATACACAGACTAGTCAGTGCAATCGAATCTTGGCAGTGATGCACGATGACGACGTGATTGTCATATACCCTGACATGCACGTAGATGTCAATGAATATAGCTTTGCACCAAATCAAATAGCGCGACTTGGCAACCAATTTTCTTCGTTCAAGATATCTTCTATTGGAGACATTACGTACTTAGTATCAAACCACTATGGATTCTGGGTAATTTGGGATTCAAATTCTGATGTGAAGTTAGGGGTCCCAACGAAATTAGCTCGTCGAGTAGACGGTTTATGTGGCTATTTTGATGGATCAATGGCAAATGACAGACAACTGCCTGATGGAAGTCAGGCACGAAAAACTTTAGAATTTGGAAACAGTTGGGCAATGGACGGTGTGCCGGAATGTGATTCACAGGTTGCTAGTTTAACTAACTTGAAATTAACAATTAATTTCATTATACTAATTCTAATCCTGTCACTTCTAATTCTGTAATTATTTAGATTTGTCCCCACGACATGAAAGTAGAAAGCCGGAAGATTTGTAACGTGGTAAAAGATTCATCGTTGGTAGTGTGTTCCAATATCGTGAACTTGGATAAATTCGTGTCTCATTGTATGGAAAGCACGTGTAACTGTCTTCGTAGCAATCATACTTATGATGAATGCCGTTGTCGTTTGTTGACTAGTTTCGTTACCGAATGTCAGGCTAGTGACTTAAATATAGATCTATCGACTTGGAGGAGTACACACGACTGTCCTATCTCTTGTACTCCACCACTTGTCCATAAAGATTGCTACAGGTATAATTTTTAAAATATTTAGAAACAACATTTTCATTTATAGAGTGTTATGCTACAAGTCTTCGATATCCTGTTAAATGTAGAAATAAATGCGAAACAAGTTGTGATAACTTGCAACAAATAGACCCTTGCCCAGTGATGCAGGGAGTATGTTTCTCTGGTTGTTTCTGTCCTGAAGGAACAGTACGTAATGGCGACGAGTGTGTATCACCAACGAAATGCAAAGATTGCGTTTGCGAGTGGTTGGACAATTCAAAGGTCATCAGTTTTGATAGGAAGAATATAAAATTCGACGGCAACTGCACGTATGTTGTGTCAAGAGATGTTATTGAGAACAAAAAAGGCCACAGGGATTATACATATCAGGTAATTGGATTGATTACCATGTAAAATATTTCTTCTTAAACTGTATTCTATTTTATGCTCTTGGGAAATAGGTGTTGGTTTCAAATGGAATATGTGATATTGGCACGTGCACAGAAACAGTTGCAGTTCTTTACAATGAACACATTGTTGAGATTAAGAAAGGTTTACCACTTCAAGAGGTAAAATCAATATCAGAATCAGAAAAATACCCAATATTCGAGTTTATAATATGTGCTTTCGTTTGTTTTGATTAGTTCGAAGTGATAATTGATGGTACAAATGTACACGAGTCTCCTTTCAACGCATCCTGGTTGATTTTGGAACAAACGCCCTCGGAGAAGCTGCAACTGTTGATACCAGCTATTCAGCTAGAACTTACTAGCTATCAGCCTAATTTCGCATTTACTCTCACTCTTCCTTCGCATATTTTTGGAGGAACAATGGAAGGTCTTTGTGGCAATTGTAACGCGGATTCTGAGGATGACCTAAAAAAACAGAATGGAGAGGTATGTATTATGAAACAAAAACAACTTTTGACCCACTCAATTAATTTTTGTGTTGCTCAGATAGCGAATGACATGCAGGACTTTGGTACAAGCTGGTTGGTCACCGAATCACCACACGGCATCAACCTGAACACGGAAGCATGTATTTCTAAAAATCAAAGCAAATGTGTTCTACCAGCAGCTGATCAAGATTTATGTAGAAATTTATTAAATGCAAACGACTTCGGACTCTGTCACAGCCTCGTAGATCCAATTCCATACTTAATAGCCTGTCAAGATAGTATTTGCACTGGAGGCGGCTACTGCGATAGCTTCGAAGCTTATGCAAGGAAGTGTCAGCAGGCGCAAGTTTGTCTAATTTGGAGAAGCAGTGAAATGTGCCCTTACACCTGTCCACCACATTTGGAATATCAGCCATGTGGTTCTGCCTGCAAGGAAACTTGCGACTCTATCAACGAAATCGGTAACTCTAAGTGTTCGAAGAGCTTTGAGGAAGGTTGTTTTTGTCCACAAAACTTTGTCTTTCACAATGACACTTGCATACCAAAAGATAAATGTTTTGTGTGCGACGAGGAAGGCCATGTCGAAGGCGACGTTTGGTTTCCAGACGTTTGCACTAAATGCACCTGCGATAAGAAAGTTATTAATTGTCAAAGAACTGAATGTCCGGCTGTGAACACTATTTGCGAAGAAAACATGACACCTGTCGCTGTTAATGGAACGGAACAAGACTGCTGTAGAAAGTACATCTGCATACCGAACGCTGTAACAACTGTAGCACCCTTCTGCAGAGAGGAAACGCAAATGCCTGAATGTGGTTATGGGCAAACTATGAAGATATCTACTGACACTGATGGATGCAAAAAGTTTATCTGCGAGTGCTTGCCACCGTCCGAGTGTCCCATGTTGAACCAAGTTGATCTTGAAGTTGTGGAACTAGAACCTGGTTTTGTGCAAACGACAAACACATCTGGATGTTGCCCAAGGTCAATGTCCATTTGCGATCCACAAACGTGCCCTCCAGTGCCGACTTGCTCAGATTATTACGAATTAAGAACGAATATGAAAGAGAATGCTTGTTGTGCTGACCATCAATGTGTTTTACCAAAGGATCTTTGTCTGTACAATATTCGATCGGACACTAAAATAGAATTGTCAGAGCAGGTGGTAGTGAAGAAACTAGGAGAACAGTGGATGGACGACAAATGTACTTCCTGTGTTTGTGAACCTTCTGATGAAGGTGCGAAACCGAAATGTTCTACAATGGAGTGTTTGAAAGCCGAGGATCATCCAGATATATTTGATTTTGTTGTGGAAGAAGTTCCAGTAGAGGATAAATGTTGCCCTAACTTTAAAAGATCCGCCTGCAAAGATAAAGGGGAGACATATAATGTAGGTGATGTCTGGCAACTGAATCCTGAAGATATTTGCACTTCAATGGAGTGCATCAAAGACGAAAATGGCATTCGAAAGCACATTAAGGTTCAGGAATGCAATTCTGTTTGTGATCTTGGTTTCAAATATCAGCCTAGCGACAATAAGAGTATCAATTGTTGCGGGCAATGCGTACCAGTAGCTTGTGTCGTTGGCAACCAATTGAAATACGTGGAAGAAGAATGGTACTCCGATGATTTCTGTACCCAGTATTCTTGCAAGCTTAACAATGAAACCGTGCATGTGGAATCGATTACAGAAAAATGTCCAGAGATAGATCCTCGGGAAGAAGCTGCATTTGAATTTGAAAAAGTGCGCATGCCAGGCATCTGTTGTCCTCAGTTTTATAAAATCGGTTGTCGCTACAACGACAAAGTGTACGAACCCGGAGAAGTCTGGACAAATACGTTGGATAAATGCGTTACAGAAGTTTGTGTGCTAGATTCGAACGTAACGAAATACGGTAAAGTAGAATCTTGCTCGAAAGAATGCGCACTTGGATGGACGTACGAAGAACAAGAGGGCGAGTGCTGTGGAAAATGCAAACAGACTTATTGCGTGTTTGGAGACATGTTATATGAACCTGGTGCATCTTGGTCGTCTGCTGACAACTGCACTTTTTACTCCTGCATGGATCAAAGGGGTCAACTGTCTGTCAGTAGCAGTTCAATGATTTGCCCTGACATAACAAACTGTCCGAACACATCAATTTATACTCAAAACTGTTGCAAGATGTGCAATCTAACATCATATAATCAAAAACTTGATCTGTGCGTTGCCGATGTCCTTGATCCACAAAGTACCATTGGCATGTTTAGTACGAATCATCGACTGCATGGATTTTGTAAAAATGTTGAGCCTATCGAAGGTGTCACAGAATGTCGTGGAAAGTGTGAATCTACATCTTATTTTGACACAGGTAATTACAGAGATAATTATTATAAGTAATTATAAGATAAAATGGTGTCATTGGTTTGACTTGGATAGGCATTTGAGGATCACCTTTGCTGAATGCACCCAATATCAAATATTAAATGTTTATTTCAAACTAGACAGACGTTTATTTAGCACGGATTATATTAAATCCTTGATGATCGATATGTTTACCCAATCAAATATAATATTCTGAAGTGAGATATGTCCAGAGCTGAAAGGTCATATTTGAGTTAATTTGTTTACTCTGATATGCAAACCCTAAATTGCCATAAAATTACATTCATTCAATTCTTGCTCTACATTACTTTGCATTTGCTTAGATGTCTCTCTTCATAATTCTCTTATTAGAGGTACCAGTAGTCTGTTGGGGCCCACTGACCCCCCTATAGCTTGGGTACCTCGGGATTGCTAAACCCGTACTGTAGCTACAATCAAACATAGCTACAGCCCCTGAGGGAGTCATCAAATTACTATTACAGTAATTAGTAGATATTTCAGATGATAATTTTTACTGACTCATCTTGTACGTAAAAACTTAGTTACAGAAGTCTAATATTATTTTACTATTATTCATTGTTTTGCAGACACTTGGAGTCCAGCAGTCAACTGCCAGTGTTGCCAACCTACTGATCAGAGGACTCTTATAGTTGAACTGATGTGCGCAGATTACAAAAGGTTGAAAAGGAGAGTGGTTATGCCAGTTGCTTGTTCATGTTCAACATGCAAATCCAACGATTCCAGCTATACGGGAACCAAAGGAGGAGTTAAGGGTTGAAGAATTTGGAAGCATAAATAAAGTTACTACGGGTACTTTTCAGGGTGTTAAAGCAATAGGTTGGAATAAGTATTTTGTAGTGTTAAAATAGACGATAAAATACAAAAATATTATTCGTTGATTTTATTGAATAATGCACATATATGCCTATATGTATATATATATACATTTTTAACAATTCATATATCGACTTTCTCCAAAGGTATATCAGAGTTCATACTTTGAATTCCGGAGCATACTAAGTACAATAAAAATTATTCAGTCTTCCTTAACAAGACTTTACTTTTTTTTCATAAATACATATATGCACGCACTATCGATTTTGCTGCTTTGTACTTCAGGATTCAGAAACTTTTATTTTTCATGTACATATGGTTTACTTTTGGAACATACGTGGAAGGTTGTCAACAAATCTTGGGGCATCCATGTAGTTTGGATCATAAATCAAAAATAATAATTTATATGAAAAACAAAAATAAATAAAAGCTTCAACACCGAAGTGAGAAAGCAATTTTTTAATGTGCCAGTAGATAAATTAAAATCACAGTTTCTTTCCCTAATACATAGTATCATCGGATCATTATCGTGTGTCGTTACAAATCAAATCAGAACATATAATTCGAAATGTAAGATATTGAGGCTTTCACAGTCCAGTTTTTCGTCGTTGATACTAACCGAGGCTTCCGTGTGTAAGCCGTGTCCTTTGGATAACATACACCGATGTTTCGTCAACATTGCAGTTGACTTCTTCAGTGATCAAACTACGCATTGATATTAATCGATCATTTTAAGGTACCTGTGCTCATGTCATGGTTTTATTGCTAACAAATCATAAAGGTTATACAGCTTGGTTACGATCAGCACAGTTCACTGGTCATCAATAGAACTAATAGGAGTGATCTGGAACGCGCTCCGCCGAGTGTTTTGGTTGTTCAATCGATTAATCCTAGCGACTTCTCTATCAATGACCAGTAAATCGTGTCATTAGACCTTTGAAGAAGCTAGCTGCAAGTTGGAGAATCGTCGGGGTATCTTATTCAAAGGACACGGCTTACACAATATAGTTGAATTTATCGCTTGCCTATTCCTTGGCGTAAGGAGTTCTTGTATTAATGATTCGACGAAACATAGAAATAGGATTCTCATCGGACAGCGTTTCGTAGACTAGTTAGCAAGAAACCTGTGTCGTCGAATGTACTACAAATAGCGAGCCAAGGAACGTAAAGAAATGTAATCCAGTGCGCGAGAAACGTCAAGGCGAATATAAAAATTATAAACATTTTATATGTTACATCTCTGTTGATACTTATCAATCGGTACCTTGCAACGGACAACGTAATCAAATTTACAAATACTACACGCGAATGATAGAATTTTGGTAACAAAACATCATTCTTATATCTTTAACGTTTATTTCTTCATCGACGGATCACTTCTAACAATGTATTTTCGCTAAGTATATGCTGGAACAGTTAAGAAAACAAGATAGCAACTAATACTCCCCTCTTTATACAAAATCTTTTCTCTCATTTTATTTGGTGACGTAATAAAGCGCACTTATCGCACTCGAAAAAGTACAAACGGTTGCAAATCTACAGATAGATATATCACGATTTAATGTATATATACAACACCTATTACTACTTAATTATTATAGAATCATCGGTTTCAACTTATCAGAAGATTCCTGAAGATTTACATGGTACAAGCAATTAAAAATCAATATATTTTATTTACATTTCTGTTTATTTTTATGCGTTTATAACAAACTGTTTCTTTTTTTAATGATTTTTCTTAATCAACGATCCACGTGTATCAACCGTCTCTCAAAAGTTCTACCTAATTATCTCTTCGTTTTAACGTGACTAAGGTAGGAAAACAAAAAACATATTTACATTACGATATAACAATAATAGTAATAATAATATTACATCTATATTCTAACGCTGAATATAAGCAAAACAGAACAATAATTTTTTCATGATTTACAGGCAACGTAATATAAGACCATAACGCTACAACTGAAATCAACGATATGTAACTTTCGTAGCTGTTCCTGCCGTATGGATTATATCAGAAGCGTTGCAAGGAGTAATAAAAGACAATGATCACAATGCATTGGTGGTCGCTAATCGGAGAAAAATAACAATTCATTAATAGAATGAAAACTGAATCCTTTTATGAGCAGCAGCCTGCTTCTTATTTCAACAATTTTTTGGCCTGTACGCAGACTGCTATGCAAGGATCGCAGCGCTGCATTCGATAGACATTGTGTTGGGTGCTTTAAACTACAGGAATCTTCAATTTTGATCGATCGTTACTTTTCTAGCAATCCTAAGACCACCTTGTATACTGCATGAAGTTTCGAGACACGACTATTTCGAATCAAGAACAAGTAAAATTTTGGAAATATAGTTTCCGTTTCTTCTTGTTTAAGAACTCCCAAAACGACAAAGAGATACGTCAAATGGCTCACGTCGTCCATATTACCGCTAGCAGAAGCGACTCCGACTCTGCCAACAGTGATACAGGCTGTTCTACGATCACTGCGAAGCGCGGCGCACTCTGAAGTAATATTGCCTCGACTTTATCAGCTTCGGTTCCTCCTTCGTATTCCGTGTGTCTCGGTGAGGTACAACAGACAGCGCTCTTCCACGTGTGAATTTATGCTACCTGAAAGGAGGAAGGACTACTTTTTGCTACACTTACAGAGCACTGTGATACCTTTTGCTACCTTCAATCGTAACAAATTCTGGCCACCCAGTGACGCTCCCCCCACCCCAGATGGCACATTCGCGTTGGATACAGCTCGAGTTGTCAACCCCTTTATTCTGGGGTTGTAAGCAAATCCTAGGCGAGCTCTCTTTTCGCCTTCGCTTCCGCGTAGAACTGTGATCCGCTGGCGCTGGCGATGCTACGTGGCCGTTGATGGAAGTGCCTGCTGAGGATGTACACCACCGCTTCGTACGTTGCCATTATGATTGCTGTGTTTGGTATTTGCCTGATCAGATGGGTGCCCAGCCCGCGGTACAGACCGTTCGTACCCTCTTCAGCGACGACCGTCCTCAGAGTTTGCCAGAACCTTTGGTACTTTGTACCTTCCTCTCTCAGTCGTGTCCTCGCTACCTCTGAAAAGATAGAGATGAGTATTTACACATGAGTCAGTTGAATCTGCTGTCTAGGTCTACACTATTTGAAAGTCAACAACAGGTTTACAATGGAGTATGCAAGGTTTCAGGTAGATAACCCATGTGCTCGATTGTAAAGGACTGCTTTAGAGAATGATGGGAGTCATTGTAATTTTTGAACGACCAGGTGTATAGCAGAGACTTACAAAACAAGGTGAAAGTCTTTTTGTAAATTATTAACGCTTTATCTACCAAGATTCTATTCATAGACTTTTCATATTCTACTATCTGCCTGCAGTATATTAACTAATGGAATATATTCTGCATTACATTATGTATAGTTTTTGCATGTTTTAATATTAGTATACGTCATAAGTCCACAAATCCCGCAGTCTACTAAGAATTAGACTGTGAATGTTTATGTAAATTCATGTTTTAATATAGTACACAGATAAAGAACAGAAACTTAAATTAAAATACGTCTTCTAAATATTATAACGTGTATTTTATTTTTTATATTTTATGTACGTATGTATTTGTATACATCTTTGTATATGGTTGTGTATTTGCACTTGTCATGATTGCATAAATATCCACAGTCTACTAATAACAGTATGTAAAAATTAATGTCAGCCTAGGTTGATACATATATATATATTAATACATATATAGGGTGCGGCACTTTAATTCGAACAAATTGAATTTTTGTTTCCAAATTACATTTTGTTAGTCAAAAAATTAAAATGTCCAACAATGCTTTTGCAGGTTGGTTGTGTGACCTCTCTAGAATATAATTATTGCATATACCTTACCCCTTTAGTATACATACACCAATGTCGACAAATTTGAGTTGTAAACGGTTTCTAAATGGACCGGTAATTAAAATGATAATACTAATACGTTTCTCATTATTGTACACTCCAAGGCCGGGGTGACCTTTTGCGGGGCCTGAATTCACATTCAAATCCTACAGTTAAATTTTATAACGAGGAATTATTTATTTGCAAATGCTGTTAGATATTATATACTTTGTATAAGATGAATATAAAATAATAATACTTTGATGATTTTTGTCACTCCTTTGAACTGAATCATCGCTACTAAAAAAATGTCTTCCATCTGTTAATGGTATCATTATTCGCCGGCTCTGGTACACTTCATACACATAAGTAGACCACTTTACACTCGCTTAAAAAATATCGTAATTTGAATACTACAACGACGTGGAAAAAGCATTTTGAAGTATGAAGCCTTTACTTTCAAATCCTAACGAGCGATTTTCTAGGCGTTTCCAAACAAAATTATAATTTCTAGGTCGATCGTGGCAGATTGTTTAAAATTCCTCAACTTTGAGATCACCCGTAAAGTTTAAATAATAAACTTCACAAGTTTATTTGATTTTATCTTTCCAGATGCGTTGATTGATCAATATTGTAACTACAAGTACACACTATATATCAAGAATTACTTTGTAGACTTTGATGACTATAACTCGACTATTTCTCAATATATTACGATAATCTTTTTTTAACTTGTTTATGACCTTTTATTTTCTATCACTGCGTCAGTATTTTTTTTCTCCTTCAAATTAATGGCTGAACTAAATCAAAATCAAAAACTCGGGCCATTCCTGTTTCTACAGGAAATTGCTAATAATTCTAACTCTTTATGTTCTAGTGGAATCAGATTTAGTGTTTGATCGATCAAAGTACCGCAGTTTGCGTATCACGCAATTGTACGTCGATTGGCCAGCACGAGAGATATACAGCTCATGCTATCTTTGGACTCGGAGGATCTTAAAGATATTCGCAACGGCTTCGTACTAGATCGATTGTTAATTATTTCGCCACAACGATTTCCTTTGGATGGTAAACGTAGTAGCTCAGTTCTAAGCTATTAAAACGTTCGCGTCTTTCCGGCTTTGTAGTCAAACGAAGATCTTTAAAACAATGCGAGACAGGAAGCAGTGCAAGAAAAACGAATATTCGCGTACAGAATATCAGTAAGGAAGTTTGCACAAACTAGCGCCTACACGTTTGAATCGAAGCCAATTCTTGAGTCACTAGCAATACCTCAAAAATAGAATTTGCAATCAATGTAGAAAGCACCGATGAACAGAATTCGCATTGCAGTAGAATAGAACTTTGGACTTGAATTAACAAATAAATGAGAAGAAGTGGTACAGAATAGTGGGGAATAGATTCTAGATTAAACTCTTTTGTAAAATTTGTTATGGTGTATATAAAGTTGGCATAAGAAAATGATAATTATTAGGCGTAGAAATTAATTCTGTGTCTCTACATTCACAGGGTGAGTCTGAAGAAACAGAACACCTAAATATCTCCGTTACTTTTCGTTGTACAAAAACACTTCTTAGGACAAAGTTATACTGTTTGGAGGGTCACATGTAACGGTGCAAGGGAACAAATTTTCAAGGTCATTTTTTAACGAGATTTAGGTCATTAGATGTTGTTTTAAATGGAACGATATATCTTCGTTTACGTAATGTTGTAGCTGACAAAATAACGAATTCATCCATGTAATACAATATCACCTACAAATGACCTTCAACCCAGAAAAATGGAATAAATAAAATTCAACGTGTAAGATTCATTTGCTTCATTTCTGTTACGAAAAATGTTCAACAATATTCCCTTGAGCTGCTATACATTCATTTAGCTGTGAACTTACAGAACAGTGGAAATTTGATAACAAGAAGGCCTTCAGAGTAATTAGTAGTTGATAAACGCGATTCCGTACGAACGCGTTCAACTAAGCCGTTTCACTGATGGGTTCCTGCATCAGCAATTTCTTCCAGGACGAATTTTGTCTTGGGTTTAACGAAACGCTGAACTTACAGTCCTAATGTTTCGTAAACGAATAGAATCGGGCTTACCATGTGGGTAGGCGATGGTGGACGCGATAGTTTTCGAGAAAGATCCTGCTGCCATGAACTCGATAAAGTCGCGCAACGTTTTCCTGTCGTCTGGCCTAGACACCCTGGACCTGTGCGTCGCAAGCCAAGCTTTCACAGCCTCGTAGATCACGAAGTGTATCACAGTCTCGCTTATTCCTACGTAGGAGGCCACGATGCCTTTGTAGAATCCCAGGATACCCTAAAAAGATAACAGAAGATGTACGTATTAGTTCAATAATTCGTATCAAGAACAAGTGATTTATCAGCGTGATAAGTCCTACTCGGTTTCCAAAACTTTTCTTTTTTAAACGAATTCTGAACTTCACAGTTGATATTAACGCTTTATCGATCGGTAGTCGTTGACTGTATAATTAAATTTAACAATATTTTCTTTATTTTCATAACATAAAGATGAGAAAAAGAAATGGATTGAAAAAAAGTGATTCTCGAAAAATATTTGTTTCTAGAAAGAATGTATTTGACAACAGTTTTATACCTCATCGAGATGTATATTTTTTGTTTAAAATATTTTTTCAAAGAATCACTTTTTCTTAAACCATTTTTCTTCTTTTTTATACAAAATGTTTAACCAGAATAATTTAAAAGGTAAAGTTTCCATCCACAAAACCATTTTTGGGCAAAAATGGAAAAGAGCACTGTGATTACGTTCCTATGAGCTCTGCAAAAATTCAAATCTTTCGGAGTGTATCAATTGTTGAACTTTCCTTGTCTATTACTCTATCTTTTATCGTAGACAAAATAAATATTAATGTTACTCGTTGTAACTGTTTCCCTCTGGCTACAAGATCGTGATGTAGTATATTGTTTACAGAATATAGCTTGTCTATGTACCTCTAACAAAAGAAATTATCTTGCGAACACAAGAGAAATAATCTAGGCCCCTGCAGAGATAAGGTAGCTATCGTATGTTAACGGTGATCGATCAGCTGGTTTTTTGGAACACTTATCACGATTGATCTTGTCAGAGCTCCATTCACAGTGCACTACTATTCGATTACGTATCGCGTTTCCTTATCTCTCGTTTTTAATTTGCGAACGTGCGCAGCGACACTGGAAGTTTCCGAGGGTTGATATGAATATTTTCAGTACCGATCTTTGTAACCGTAACTGAAGCACAACTAAACCTATTACAGTATTGTCTCGAAATAAGCAACTCGGTCGGGACCAGCGAGTTGCTTATTTCGAGGGAAGTACGCTATTCGGCTTGACTTTGTTCTCGAGGGGTTTGGTGTAGCGGTAAACTACATACAACTAACAGTATTGTTTCGGAGAATACACACAGCAAAGAAAAAGAAAATATTACGCATGCTCTGTGCTCTTTCTACTAATTTATTCGGCTTCTCGCGTTCACGGACCTCTCATTTCTTTTCGGATTTCTCACTCGGCGGGCGACTTCAAACAAAAAGGTGAGGATAGCGAGTTGCTTATTTCGAGGCGGAGAACAGTTGCTTATTTCGAGACGATACTGCATTTCTACATAATTAAAATCGTGTCGTACTATGATTTACTACGTAACAAATAATCTTTGGTATTTACATCTGATAAGATCGAACAAAAAATATTGTGTAATTTATTTTTAGGTCTCAAATGTATCGAGGATGAAATCCACGATACAATGCAAATCAAATCCTAAAATACAGTTACCTTGACTATAAAAGAATCATGAATATTGTTTCGAAATTAGTAAAAAAAAATTAAAGAGTAGCTTCTTAAACACTTTGAACCTATTCCGTCTGACGTAACGTGGAATACTGGTGACATCTTCGAAACAAACTGAACGGGACACTTGTAAATTTAGCAGAATCTTGTATATACTTGTATAAATAAACGTACCGAATTTTAAAAGTTTATGTCAATTACGTTAACCACAAAAAGATCATGCAAATTGTCTTGAAATTAGTAAAAATAAAAGAGTAGTCTCTTCTTGTCGTTGCAGATTGTTTTGCTCTGTGTTTTATGAGGCCATTACTCGAACATTTTTCTATTTCATTGTACAAAAGAAACGAAGAGTATACCAACAATCAGGGAAGACGATGTTACACATTTATACCTGAGCATTGAATTTCTGAAACATAAGCAGTATTCAAAATACTACTTTCTTCGTCAAAGTAACCGATCCACGTGGATCCAACGGAGATAAATAGGATTTAATGGTATGGATTATTACACAAAATTTAGTAAAATGACGCGAAATCGCGAAATCGCCGAGACACACTGTTATCGGTGGAATTTTGATAGTTAACGTTCCGAGATATCACTACGGACGTCTGTCACGTGATCACATGAAACGTTGACTAGTGATACACGAGTGCTTAACCATTAGCGCAGCACATGTAAGACCCGGAAGGTATAGGCAACAGTAGTAGAATAAACTATTAAGTACCTAGACGCCGGATATTTATGCAAATTCATATTTTTATATACACAGGTGAACGGTAGAAAAATACGTTCAAAATATGTTTTGTCTTTTAAATGTTGTAACGTGTATCGGATTATTCATATCTTATTTATTTTTGCATTGTACACCTCCTTGTATATTTTGTTTACATTTACACTCGTGATAAACGCATAAATATCCACAATCTACTAATAAATATTCGAACAACATAGGCTTTGAATTCTTATTATACCTTCGAAACCCAACGAATCGTTTTATGGTTATTATTCGAGCTGATCTTTGTGTTTTTAAATGTATTGACTCTTGAAAGTTAGATAGGGTAAAAACCATCCCACCTTTTGGGTCAATCTGCGAAAAAACTCGAGAATTTGGGATCCATAGGATTCATTTCTCCAGTTTCGTTGAAATGAAGGAAAATTGATATAGTCTTCGTTTGAACTTCGTGTTCTATGTATGAACTTATTTAAATAGAAACGAATTATATCAAATATATATATTTTATATTTTCAATTATATCTACTACATACGTTCATTTCATTTTGCCTTAAATATTAAGTAAAACAGAAGGTCAATTTGTATACAAGCTGTATAATTTAGGATCTGTACAATCTTTATTTCTCCAATTTTGTTAAAAAGAATGGAGATTTAACAATATTTTTCGTTTCTATTTTGTATCCCATGTAACGGGTTATTTCATTTTATCTTAACTATTAAGACTGAGTACTAACAACTCGTTCCATTATATGAAAAACTCTTTTATCCAAATACTTTTGTTCCCCAATTAGTTTACATAACAGAGATTCCATTGTATACAATCCTTCACTCTGGGAGCCGAACCAAGACGCCAGGGGCGGAAGTATAGCGAAAAAGAACTAGGACAATGTATAAATCGTTGCGACAGAGAGTGACATTCCGTTTTTGCGTGCCACGTATTTGTGCTCTCGATATTTTGGTCGCGTTTTGCTATTCGTAGGTCGCGGTGGGCATTTTTAGACCTGGCTCGAGTTCGCCTGCACGAATGCAATTACGATGCAAATGCGTCGTCCGAGTTGTCGCGAGGACGCAATAAGAAAAAAAAAACTGCGAGTACACTTGAAAAATTTGAACGAATCGCGCTAAACTGAATCCTCGCAGCTGACTGTCTTTCAAAAGTCATCGATAAAACGACACGACCCATCAAGACTTTTCTTTTCTCCTTTTTCGAGGAAACTGATGATATCAAATTGTTCCTATATTTACGCAATTTCGCGTTCCGTTTCTATGTGCATACGGTTGCAAAAATATCCTTGGCTTGGACGAGTACTTCATCGCATATTGCGTTTGTTGCAACACCGTTTCTGTTGACTTTCGTCTGACGAAAGTTCGAGGCCATGCTGTACCATATATTTTTTTTGTCTAAGCATCTCTGTTGACTTTATTAGGTGTATGCATAAGTTTTATACATTACGTTTGGATGGTGCTAGAAGATAATCTATCAGCATTGTTCAACTAAGTATTTTTGATGTTGGTATGGACTGCATTCAAGCAAACAAATAATAGATCGTAGTTGTTATCGTAATGTTATTTTTCGATTGTTTTAAAATGGAATCCGTCGAGTTGCATATACGTCAATGTTTCTCTGATTAATCAACAGAAAACCGCTGCAGAAGCGAGTAGAATGTCGTGTGCGGCATATAAAGATATGCGCTGTGTCCGATTGCAAGTGTCTACATTGATTAAATAGATTCAAAATTGATGATTTAGATATTAGCGACAAGCCTCGTTCTGAATTGCTTGAGAAGATGGAAGATGAGAAACTGCAAGTGTTCCTTGATGAAGATTCGGTCCAAAAACAACAACAACTTGGAGATTAACTAGATGGTCACGTTTAAGTGATCATATAATTGCAAGATCTCTTATATGGCAACCAAGCAAACTTTATTAGAACTCGAATTATCATTTGTACGGTCTTCCTAGCATACGTTGTCGAAAACATACTTCCTTCTGTCGACAAGGAATCAATCTTTTCCCTAAAAGCTGGCAAAAGGTAATAAAAGGCGAGGAAAAATATTTTAATTGAAAGTAATGTACAGATTTCATTTGATTAATAAAATAATTCAGCACATTATATCACGGCCATTGAAATCGACGAAAGTTTCTACCAACGTGCACGTTTATCGATTCTTCAACCTCAAAACCACTTTATACATAATGAATACAACATAACATAATTCCATACAATTCATCACGTTCCAACACGTGTGATATAGTCGATCACCGAAAGGATGGAATGTTACTTTTAACGGGTAGCTAGCGAGAATCTGATCGATTGAACACGGCTCAACGAGAGTATCCGTGTTCGATCACAGACTGTGCAGCAGACGGGAAACTCGTCGATATACAGTCTATATGTGTTCAGGGTGAGGAAACTCTTGCGATAACTTAAAAAAAAAAAAATTGTTGTGCTCGATGACGAAACGGAAAAGATACTACCAATGAGGTCTTGTGGAATACAAGTTACAATGTGCAATGTCGAACTCTGGATTTATAATTGATACTGATAAGTGTATGCATAAGTCTTGTAGGTTTTTGTGTTGGATTACTTTATTAAGGGGGAGAATAGGTTTAGGACTATGTTTCTTTTTTTAACAAAAAAGGAATTCAGAAAGTCTCCATAAATGCACAAATTTCTCTGCGATAAATGCACATGAGTCATGGATTTGTGAATTAAGTAGGTTAAAAAATTAAATACTACGGCAAATGTTAAAGTACTCTAATCTTCGACAGTCTTGAGATGAAATTTGAACTTGCTAGAAATTATTACAAGTTTTAGTCTGCCAGCTAACGTGTTAACTAAATGGAATCTGTTCGTTATTTTCGATTAAAGTACTTTGTCTTACTTTCTACTACCTTTTGCCAACTTTTCGAATTCATCGAGACATTTTCAAAGTTTGGCTTCGTTTCGAAAACGTATGCTAGGGAGACCGTGTTGCATGGACCTGAACAAATGACAATTAAAAGGTGCAATGTCAGATGAATACACCAAGTGAGGTAGAACTATTCATTCTAATTCCAATAAGGTTTTCTTGATTGCCATAGCGATCTGAAATTATCATAGAGCAGAATAATCAGATTTCCTTTGTCAGTAAACGGTCTTTTTTGCTTTACATGATCATTTAAACGTGATCAACTAATTATTCTGCATGCTGCTGTTGCGTTTGGCTCGAATCTTCATCAAGTAACACTGACAGTTCCTCATCTCCCATCTTCTCGGGTCGTCCTGATCGAGGCTTGTCGCTAACATCGAAATTGTAACAATCCTTCATTTGGTTTCCAACTGCCGAGATTGTTAACACTTTATTTACCGGGAGCCTATTTTTAGGCTTTTAAAATTGCAGTATTTAGCTGTTCGAATTTATTTACTGTGTTGATGGTTGTCTACTTACAATGTTCAGTGTTTGGAAACAGACTTGACTTTCAATGTACGCAGTAACAGTATGGAAGAATTATTGTCAGCCTAGATTGGCATATGATGCTGTAGAAAATTCTTTTTTGAATTAAAGTCTGTTTCTAAATAGCCCGGTAGATAAAGTGTTAAAGTTCAACGATTCATGTTTGGCCTGAAAGCGTGGCCACGAGTTCTACGAGTCACGTTTAATTCAAAATTGTGATCGCGAGACAGACTTGTGGAAATATCTGAAAGGGTTACACTAAACACTAGGTTAGAAGACGATTTTCTTACCGATTGGCGATATATCCTGTGCACGCATTCCATCGCGGTGATTCTGTTCGTTCGGTCGTCCAGCTGTAGCCTGGTTTTCACGAACCAAATGGGATTTGTCAGCGTGCATGCTACGAAACCTGAAAAATGAATTTACTTATCTTTAATCAGATCGATGCGTGTGCTTGGGGAAGCATTCTATTACATCGCTGGAGCTGCCTCGAGTCTTTAGCTAGTCAAGGCGAATTGGTTTATTAAAGGGGTACACTCTTTTTTATCTTTAACATCATGAGGAATATTGGTACGCGTGTGTATGCTTGCTTTTATAGCAAAATTACGGGTTATTTACGGTCGCAATAACTTTTAGAATTAAAAAATATACAATATTAAAGTGAGATAGCATACTAGGTATGTTAAAATCGATTTAAAGTTAAATATTGTTTGGTTTGCGTGTATTTGATTAAAGTAAAAAAATAAAGAACATTTAAAACTTACACCTTGAGAGGTTAACAGTTTCAAAGCAATTTTTATAATTTTCTTGACAGCCAATGTAGTTGCCATAGAGTTTTGAAATTTGATATGTTTATTTGTACGTGTGCATACAAGATTCTGTTAAAATTACAACTGTCTTGATCAATCTCATTCAAAGCGTGACATAACAATTGGAAGGTAATAGTAAAGATATGGAAGTAATAAATGAAAAGTATTTCAGCTATCAGCTATAAGTGTCTGCACTATTTAAAAAATTGGGAAAGGATGAAGATATAGTCCTATTCGTCCTCTCCGTGTTCAGACTTGATAGATAGATAGACCTTTTAAAATTGGTTCTACGAAAATTAATTTAGGTGAACGATATTCGGAGAGAATTAATTAATTTTCATAGAACGAATTCTATGTACACATTATCTTTTGCAATTTCTATGTTTCATGATCAGAATTGGTTGTATGAAAATTAATTTAATCTCCCTGATTATCGTTCACTTGAATTAATTTCAACCAATTTCAAAAGGTCTATCTATCTGAAAGTCTGAAGTCTTTTTGTCCAACTTTTTAAATACTGAACGACCATTAAAAAATCGCATGATTACATAGTATTCGTCACAGACACTTTCGTCTATGATTACACACAATTTTTTTTAAAGAATATATTCATTAACAATTTCAAAGTTACGTGCTTTGGAAGAAATCCAAATAAGGAGAAGAACGATTCAAAGAAATTGGCGATTCGATTTTCGAAAATTGCAATGATCGATCATACAGGAAACAAACGAAGAAACAGGCTCGCGGCTTTTAACCTTTTCGCGAAAGAGATCAAGGTTCGCGAAGCCCTATCGAAGATGCCACGAATTAGAAAAGGAGACAGATTGCCGAGCGTGACCTTGTACGAAGATTTACCAGAAAATCGGAGAAATATCTTGGAACTTGTCGCGGACAAGAAGGCCATCATTTTTGGGGTTCCTGGAGCCTACGTGCCGGGCTGCTCAAAGGTTCACTTGAGCGGTTTTATAGAAAAGTATGACTCGTTTCGTTCGATTAACAGGATTCGTGGAATTGTTATGACACTACTTTACCACCATTTCTACTTCTTTATTGAACCGATTAGGTCGACCCACCTGCAGTTTCTAGGCTTCCAGGAAATAATCTGCGTGACCGTCAACGATCCCTTTGTTACATCCGCTTGGGGAAATTACAAGGGCGCGGAAGGCAAGGTAAAAATGTGTACATAGGTGTGAAAAGCTATTCGTGTTTCGGGAACGTTCAACTTTTACCTAGCAGACTAGGAGGACGTTAAAGAGTCAAAAAATAGTTTATCTTGTAGAAAAGAGAAACTATCCAACGGAAACTTCTTTTCCTTGTTTTTCTTTGTATAATTAGACTACGGATTCTACGGACTACGGTGCAAATTCATATATTCGTAGATACGGGAAAAAAAATGAATGTATGCCTTATCTTCTGAATGATATAAATGCACAATTTTGTTGATACTTTGTATTGTTTTGCATTTCTGCACATTCTCATAAATCTGCACTAAATGCATAAAGATCTCCAGCTTAGTTATGAGAAATGTAAGAAATATACATTTTTCTATACAGTGCAACGAAATTCGACAAAATGCATAGTTTATGTAATTCGACCCACATGAAATTTAATTAGGAAGTTGTTACTTCATATACTTTTCATATTTGTGCACATTCTCATAAATCTGCACTAAATGCATAAAGATCTGCAATTTAGTTACAAGAAATGTAAGAAATATACATTTTTCTATACAGTGCAACGAAATTCGACAAAATGCATAGTTTATGTAATTCGACCCACATGAAATTTAATTAGAAAGTTGTTACTTCATGTATTTTTCATATTTGTGCATATTCTCGTTGATATATCCATACTTTCATTTCCCACAAATGGACAAATATCCGTAATCTACTTATAATAAATGTTAATTTGTGTTATTTCATCGTTACGTATTTTGTATTAAGTTCTCGACACTTTTCCATCAATTTTAATTATATGGGAGAAACTACTGTAACAGTGTTTAAAAAAAGAGCACCTGTTTAATTTGTCCTAGAGTACAAGACCCTCTTGTTTGTTAGAACTACCTCTGTAGCCGGCCCCTTTCTCTCTCATAAGGTTATTATTGACCTAGCCGCTGGTTGCGGTAGAAAGAATATGTCGATCTAAGTATAGGTTCCCTTTTACTGAAAATAGTAGTTGCTCCTGCAGCAAGTGACAAGGAGCGGCTTCCCTGCTCGAGTAGCCGCGAGAAGGTCGATTACTTTCGAACGCTGCAAGAGTTGCAGTTTAGGAAAACTTAAGAGGGGAAGCCCTCACCTTGGACGCGTGAGAATCACAGTTATATTCAGCAATTATCTTTTCCCCCGAAAACAATTCACGTAATGAAAGATCTGTTTGCTGATATTCATCATGCATTTATTAAGTAATAAACAAATCATTTTTATTCAGATTTTTAAAATAAAATAGCTATTTAGGACCATTACGGGACTAGAGTAAAGACTGAATAAGTGCAAGAAAATTGGGACCCAAACATTGCAGTTATCCAGTCGAGGTTTCTATTCTGTGTTTACATTTAGCTTGAACGTAGGAAAGGATTGAGAGTGAAAGAGAAAGAGGTCCGAGGTAAAAAGTAGTCGGCAAAAGCGTATCAATCGGTTAGGATCATATTACACTACTCAAAGAGGGGATAGTCATCTTGCATCTATCCAGTTAATCCTGTCTTGCACTTATCCAGTCTTTACTGTAGTCTTTTTCGAATGACTAATCGACGAGTTCTCGAGTATAGTCAAACCTAAAATAAAAAACCAAGTATTTTCATGTTCTACGTGATATGCAAGTATACCGTGGTATTAGGTGTAGAAATTAATTTAGTGCCATTCTAAAGTAAATTTACCATTCATTTATAAAGAAAAATCCGTCCAACGTGTAATATTTCCTAATATTAAATCTTTACAATACAATTGATGGAAGTATTAGGTGTAGAAGTTAATTTTGTGCAATTCTAAAGTAAATTTACCATTCATTTATAAAGAAACACCGTCCAACGTGTAATATTTCCTAATATTAAATCTTTACAATACAATTGACGAATGACATGATGCAATAACATCGTCGCGAGATTGATAAGTGTCATAGATAAATATTAACTTGAATTTTGGTGTATTTCAAATAAAGTACAATAACTCGTCCCTCAAGAAATTAAATTACGAATGTTGCAGAAATGTCTAGTGTAGGGTAACCTGATACCTTTAAATTTTATAAGAGACCGTTGAAATTTAGGTGAGAATACTGGCAGACCCAGGAGGATCGTACACGAAAGCTATCGGGATGGGCATCGATATTCCCGAATTAGGAGGAACTAGAAGTCGAAGGTATTCCATGGCAACGGTAAATGGCATCGTTAAGGAACTATTCGTGGACGCGCCCAATGCGAAACTCGTGTGTTTGCAAACAGAGGGGATTCCGACATATTGTACCTGACTCGTACATCATATCCCAAAATAAACGTTCGGTATAAGGTTCGATACGTTTCTTTCTTACCACGTTCAATGTCAGACTAATAATCGTGAAAATTCTTACGAGGTTACAATTTTGTTTGTGTATAATTAGAAATGATATAATCTAACTCATTTCTGCAACCTCTAAAATTCAACAATCTCCTCCAGATTTATTTTCTTTAGCACCACATCTTTAGAATTAATGTATTTAATTCATTAATGAAAATCCTTATCACCTAGAAATACGTGATTCAATTTTTTGGACGAATAATGTGTTCGTTAAAGTTGGTCCAATTTGTTTACTACTATACAAAGAGAAATCAATAGTTAAAATAGCACGCATCGGTAATCATGTGTCAACGTCGTATGGATTTTATTCCATAATGTACTTAACAAATATCTATTTAATTATATTCACGGTATAAGTGTTTACATTATTCATTAAGTAAATATTTACCCTTAAAAATATTTATTTATCTTTATATAATATATGTACTTGATTTTGAAGTATTCTTTTGTATTTGTTTTTCTTTCAATTTAGAAGAAATTTTGTATGGGGTGTTGCACACATATTTATTCATATTTAAGAAATATAAATATTGTTAATATCTATGTGTGTATATCATATTGTTACATTAATGTACATATTATATATCTTTTAATGATATGAATATATACATATATTAATATAATTCATACATATAATATATTATATGGAGATGGATACATATTTCACTTACTATTTACGTAATGAATATATGTAGTCACTTGTATAATAACTTATACAATGAAATTCGGCCGCCATGACATGACTGCGAATGTATTTTAAAGTGATTGTAAATGCTTAAACACGATAACTTGAAAAACTAAAAAATCTTCTAACGGCAACAAAACAAATAATTTATATTACTGTACATAACAGTAAAATATCCTTCGCTATTCAAAGACTCGCAATAAACGATAGCTTCTCCAAAGTATACCCAAATGTAAACAAGGTTCGCCAAGCCCTGATCTATACCAATATGTCATCTCATATGTAAACACAACAACTCGTCGATCAACCTAATATGCATAATCTAATCGCCGTTGTCCATCTAAATCTAAATGATTAAACTACCGAACGA